AAAAAAAAAAAGTTGGTACTATTATTTCTAAATACAAAAAATAATCCCACGTTAATTAAAATGCAAAGTAAAGCTTATTTAACAGAAATATTATTTGTTACAACATTACACTACACTGCTGATGTAGGGGGGCGCCACCTAAAATCTTGCCTAGGGCGCCAGATTGGTTAGGGCCGTTTCTGGCTGTGACAGACTACCCAAATCCACCTTTGCTTTTATAGCCGTGGTCTCTCATCTTGATTACACGAAGTGATTTACAATTACTACTCTGAAATATGAATTACATCTGTAATAATCACATACATGTAATAGAATGTTAATAGTACATTTCCCTTTTTTAGGAAATGACCTGCATGTATCTGTGTGAAATCAATAAAAGGATCAAATACTGCATTATCTTTAGTTACATTGATAATATTTATTTATGGTGAAACAGTGGTAAAATATCGCTGTTGCTTTCGTATAAATGAAGCGGACATACCTGCGTGGCCGCGATCTAATCCTGTTTACATAAAGTGAACCTGCTCCCGAGCAGGTTTACGCTTACGGCTCTGTTGCTATGACAGCAAGTCCCGGATGAGCTTCGGGGAACCGACTGATCCAAGATCAGGCGAAATCGTCAACAATCTAATCCAGCTAACTTACTTAGCGAGGTACGAAGAACGGGCCCCTGGAGTATATAAAACAATTTATGCCTGCACGCATTTTGTATTTTCTCATGTTATCTTCTGATTTGTTGATCATAAGTGCCCACAACATAATTCACATGGGGGTAATTTGGTCACTGTCTAAATTTACATGCTGGTTAGCAGCATGTCAACGATGATGGATGAGCTAGAAAAACAGTTTACAAATGGTAACCACTTGTTTTTTCCATATTTCTCTCATAACTGAACAAAACGTCCTGAAACAGTTTAAAGAGCCTGTAAGCTTAACAGATGATGATTATCTAATCATTTCAGAAATCAGAAAAACAACAACAATTCCTTCCATATCATAAATAAATAAAAGTTTGGAAAAGAAAATCTATCAGTGGTTAAAAGTGAGGCATAAAACGAAGAAACTTTAAATGACCATTTGTAGGTACAGCACAGCTGTAAGTGTGGCCTCTGTGTAAAGTTCACTAACTTGATCTGTTTGATCCAGCTGCTACTGAGACGAGCTGCCCAGACCTCAGAGCCTTGAAGGACAGACTTGCCAAGCTAGAGCTCGGTAAGTGTCACAATCATGTGTTTTTAATTCAAATTCAAACACAACTCAGTTACAAAGAACTGTTTTTGTCAAATACACAGGACATCTAAAAAATACAACTTTAAGTCTAATTTTCAGACACGATTGATAGGTCATCATATTCATCATCATATTTCTGTGTGACAGTTTTCCATGTGTCTACAACATTAGATTGATTTTAAATAAAAAGCCTAAGAGTAACAGTTTGCTTTATTACATTTTTGTGTTCTCTAGCCATTAACTATCATTTTGTCCGGAGAGTTGGTCAGAAATACTTTGTGTCCAACAAGGAGAGAGGCTCTTTCTCCAGGGCTGTCGAATTCTGCTCCCAACAACACATAGAGTTGGCTCTGCCCCAGAACGAGGAGGAGAACAATGCACTGACTCAAGTGTTTGGCGATGTTTACAAGGCAGCTTGGATCAGTGTCAACAACAAAAAGGCAGAGGGAAATTTTGAGGTGGATATGAAAAACCAACGTCTGACATTTACCAAGTGGGGAGAAGGTCAGCCAGACAAATCCATCCAAGATACAGGCTGCACCATGCTGTCAGAAAACGGCATCTGGCAAGTTACACCAGAATGTTCGCTGAACGCTTACATCATTTGTCAGTTATAGAAAGTTCACAGTTCCTTGCAAATCTCGCTTTGGTCGATTTTCTTTCCCCATGTCATGTTCATCTCAACTTTTCATGAAGGGAATTAACACATAACTTTCTTAAACAATGATAAATTACATTCTACCCCGTGTGGGTTTTTTTAACAGTTTATTATTTTTCTTTTACCTGTATTATAATATCAGATTTTAAAAAAATTCCTACTGCAAACGAAACATATTTAGAGTTTTCATCTCTCTCTTATATAAATGCCAGATGGTATTCTTAATGTGTACATGCTTTAAATATAAAAATTATACAATAAAAACAACACTGCAGAAGTGTGGGATTTCACTTTTACTTTTTAATTTTTACCTTTTACTAAAGTGAAAAAACGCAACTTTAATTGCTGTTTTCATTAATTGCTTTGACTTTGTAAACTGATATTAATGAGGCACCATATAGTTTTCTGCTCTTTTTATTAAACGCAGACAGTAATTTTGTTTGTCTCTAAACATTTTAGAAAGTAATTACATAACAAAGAGATTGAGAATTTCAGAACAAAGATAGTGTTGTAGGTATAAACTGTATATAGGCATAAAGTTACTGTGGTTTGATTAGATGTTAACACTAAAATAAACATTTATTCCAAATGAATGTAATTACACGATTTAATGTAACATTATGTTACATATCTTGTAAGATTAATTAATTAAAAAAGAAAAGAAAAGAAAAAACATACTTAGCAGAGGATGGTTTCGATCCATCGACCTCTGGGTTATGGGCCCAGCACGCTTCCGCTGCGCCACTCTGCTGCGCTGACTTGGCGGCACAGGACACTATTAATTGGAGCCCCTCCCACTGTTGTGTTTCGCAGAAGCGACGACGATAATGCATTTTACACCACATTTTGAGACGAAATAGATAATACGCAGTTTAAACCTACCTATCACACTACTGCAACAGACTATGAGAACAACAGCTACCTGCTCCACGGTCACATAGATAAAACATCACAAGGGATTCTTTTTGGTTGTTCCCGCCTTTGTTGTAAAGCACAGTTATAGGCGACAGAGGGCGTTGTTGCTCATTTTTGTTTCAACATTTGAAACAACAGCATTCAAAAGCAAAGAGACACGTTTAAAAATCTAGATGATTCAATTCATTAAGTTATATTTGTTTTTTTATTTAGCCATACTTTTGAACTTACAGCTCACTATAGTGGTCATAAGATCTCACATTTCACAGTACTCATTTCTCTACTTAGTGCATCATCATGCCCTTTCCGGAGTTTATCATCAAAGTCGGTTTTCATTGTGTCATTGGCTCAAAGTTGACTCATTTTTATCATGTTTAAATAGCATCAGAATCATTTTACTGGTGTTCGGAAATCAAACGAAGAAATTGTGCCTCTAACAATGTTTTTCATAAGCTCTACAATACAATGACAGTTATTGTTTTGCTGAAATAAATTTTTTGAAAAATTGGAAATAATTTATAAATTAAATAACCTGTGTGTACTGTAATATTTTGATTATACATATTTAATGGCAACATTTGATTTGAATTAATGCCACATGTCATTGACACAAAATATCACAATATTGTCATCTCTAATCACTCGCCTGTCACATTAACCTTAAACATCCAAATGCAACTAGACTGCAGCAACCCTCTACTGTTAGGTGCGAAGGATTTTCATGAATATTTGGAAACACTGATCTCGTTGTATTTTGTGGTAAATGAAAACTCAGAAACTAAGCCTGCTACACTTTGGGAGTATTTAAGGGGTACTATTATCTCTTTTAAATCAGCCAGAAGGAAGAGAAACTGGGCTAAGCTCCTTGACTTGGACAAACAAATTAAAGATCTGGATAAAGAGAATGCCCAAACGCCATCCACAATGCTACCTAAGAAAATACTGTCTTTAAAATATGAATATAATAATCTACTCTCAGCAAAAATCAGTAAAGCCTTTTTGTGCACCAAGCAGAAATATTCTGAGCTTGGTGACAAATCGCATAAAATACTAGCAAGAAAACTTAGGAAACAAGAACAAGACAGTACAATTCATAAAATTTAAAATAATGCAGTTGAGGCTTTAATGGACCCCGGAGACATTAACAATCACTATTTCCAATTTTATCAAAGTTTGTATGCTAAACAAAATATAGATTGT